ATATTGCTGAGAGAAATTAAAGATCTAAGTAAATGGAGTGACATTGCATGCTCATAGGTTGGAAGACTCATTTTTGAGATGGCAATCCTTATCAAAATCCCAGCAGGCTTTTTTTGCAGGAATGAGCAAGCTGATCCTAAAATTTTTATGGCAACGCAAAGGACTCAGAATAGCTAAAAGTATCTTGTAGAATTAAATTCGGAGAACTTCCTGATTACAAATTTTACTATAAAGCTATAGTAATCAAGACAATGTGATACTGGTATATAGATGTGTGTGTGTGTATTAGTTGAAAATTTGAGGGTCCTGAAATTAACCCTTACATTCATGGTCAATGGATTTTGCTCAGAGATAACCAAGGCATCTCAGTAGGGAAAAGATTGCCTTTCAACAAATGAGGCTGGAAGAATCGGATATCCACATGAAGAAAGATAAAATTAAAACACACATCTTCCACAAAAATTAACTCAAATGGACCATAGACCTAAATGTAAGCGGTAAGAGCTAAGACTTCGAAGAAAACATAGGCAACAATGTTTATGACTCTAAGCTAGGCAAAGATTTCTCACATGTGACACCAAAAGCACAGTCTTTAAAAAGTAAAATTGATAAGTTGGACATCATCAAAATTTAAAACTTGTGTATCATAAGCCACCATTAAGGAAATGAAAAACGTCACAGACTTGGAGAAAATATTTGCAAATCATATTGATAAAGAATTTGTATCCAGAATATATAAATAAACCTTCAGTGAGAAGACATTCATAACCTAAGTAAAATAGGGCAAAAGATTTGAATAGGTGTTGCTTTAAAGAAGTTAAGTTGCACATGAATATAGCATATAATCCTAGATTCCTAGGAATATTCATATGTGAGAATTGAACAAAATGTCTGCAGAAAACTCGTAAACTAATATTTGTAGCCACATCATGCAGTTTCATATATATCTTTGTTTGTCTCTTCCTAGTCCCAAATGGGAAATAACCCAAATTTCTTTAAACCAGTGAGTGGATTAACACAATATGGTATATCCACACACACTGGAAAACTGCTCAGACACGAAAAGGGATGAAGCACTAACCCTACAATGTGGATGAGCCTCAGACATACAAAGTGAGAGGAGCCAGGTGGAAATAGCACGTAGGGTAGGCTTCCACTTGTGTGAGTTGTCCTGGACAAGGAGACTGGATAAGAAGGAGGTTAGCAGGGGACTCAGGCTCTGGGTGGGGGTGGCTGCCAACGGGCACAAGGAACCCTTTTGGGATGCAGGCAAAATGTTTAAGATTGGACAGTGTCAATGGTTGTACAACTCTAAAGTTACTAAAATGAGTTGAATAGGTGATTTTATGGCACATACGTAAATTCCACGTCAGTAAAGCTGTTCAAGATTTGACGTAAGACATGAATTCTGAAAAGGAAAGGGAGGGAAGAAGTTTGTGATTCTGTGGATTTGGACTGGCGCCTTAGAATTTGTATTTCTAACAAGCTCTCAGGTTGTGTTCTGCTTCCAGTCAGTGGCGGGAGCGTGACGCAGAGCCTGGCATCTCAGGGTATTGATGTGTGTCAGAGTGCGGCGGGTTCCCCAGAGCAGGCCCCTGCTCTCGTGGGTGGGTATGCCTGGCGCTCTGGGTAAAAGCTAATGACCAGCAGCAGGGCTTAAGTCATGAAAAACTAAAGGCTTCTTTTGGGAAAATAATTATTGGGAGCCAGAAGATTCTAAGGAGGAGGGCATGACAGGTGGATGCTGTCCTAAAGCCCAAGCACGAAAGCAGAGGAACGGCAGGAATGTGAACAGAGGCTAGAGTGCTGGCAGAGCTGGGTGGCCTGGCAGAGATATGCTGTAGGAGACAGTGTGTCGCACGGTCTGCAGGCACTGTAGGGGGCAGCAGTGCCTCATGGGCAGATCTGCACCGTGGGGCCTACGGGTGACCAGAAACCCCAGGATGTACTTTGGCCTGAAGTGGTCCATCCTGATGCTGAAAGTCTGATTCTGCCCAGAGCCCAGGAGGGTCTCAATCTTGAGGGGGGTTAGGCCAGTGAGAAAGGCAGAACCCAGAAAGGTGGCCAGCAAACCAGAAAGTGCAAAAAGTCAAAACCAAGAACCAAGAATGCAAAAAGCAAAGCAGCCAAGTGGAGTATGCACCCGTGTGCAGTTTATTTTCACTCCCAATGCTCCTTACCTGAAATCTGACGGCAAGTTTAGTTGGGAACTAAGTCTGCTGGGCTGGGGAGCAGCACCACCCTCAGAGGGCGGGACGTGTGGGGACGTACACTCAGGTCACCAGGCTGGGGCTGAGAGCTCCCTTCTTGTCAGTCTTGAGGGATTTCACCAGGATGTCCCTCCATCAAAATGCAGTCTACTGCCGTGAAGAACCAGCTCCACTGAGGAACCCTCCAGAGTCCACTTGGGATGGGATGCAAACTCTTGCTTATGCATGCTCTGTGCCTATCTGGTCTGTGCCGTGTTAGTGTTGCTTTGAAATGTTATGCTGGCTGGAGCAGATACCAGAACACAGGTGACAGCATGAGGGACCAGAAACGATGTTAGTCACGTGCATTCATGGCTCTATTTCTATGGGGTTTTTTGAAAGTATTTTTTGAGAAAAATTAGCTATGGAGGCAACCTTACAAGTCAGCCCAACACCAGGGTCAGTGCACCTGTTGAAGTCCTGCACAGGGCCAGGTGTGTTGGGGGCAGGCATGTGAGCAGTGTGGCCTGCCACACTCCATAGGGTGTCCACTGCCACCAGAACTCGGGCTCACCTGAGAGGCAGGTCCGGCTCTTCACCCTCCCGTGTGCTGCCTCTTTCCCTTGTCAATGGTGGATACTTTGTGGAGAGAAGGAGCAAAGAGAAGTCTAATCCTTTCCTGCTTGAAGTCCCTGGCCTTGAGGGGTAAACAGAGTGAACATTACTGAGGCATTGGGGGTGGGAAGTATCACTGGGGAAGTGAGTAACAGCTGGAGGAGTGGCTGCTGGCAGAGATGGATCTGAAGACAAGATGTTGTGGACACTATTTTGGATAAAAATTTGCAAGGGTTTCAGAAGTCTCCTATTCGAATTCCCACTGGAGAGAGCACCTTATTTTTGCTGTTCTAATGCTTTCTGTGTGTGCTTCTAGCTTTACAAGGTTTCTCCCTGTCAGGTTTCACTGCTGCCATTCAAGGGGTATTCTCTCCCTGCAGTCCTGACTAGGGACACCCTTTCTGGGGATTCTCTTAGGGGTTTGGATGTCCTTTGCAAGCTGCCCTGGGTCCTCCCATTGTTCCATGGACAGCATGTTATGGGCGTGAGTTAGTGGTCAGTCCAGTGCCAGCTCCAGCCTCTATCCCACAGTAGTGATCACCGTGCCTTGCCTCTTCTTGGGCTTGAGATGTGCATGATTCTCCAAGATCCAGCCAAGAATGACTCAGGGGTCCAAATCTAATGGGAAGGTGTGAGTTCCTGTCCCCAGTGGGACTCACTTTCCATTTGTTAAAAAGTAGGAGGCTAAAGTCTGAGACTGGATGCAAGGGCTTGAAGATCAGGTGCAGGTGTTAACGTAAACAACTCTAAGCAGAAGCTCAGCAGAAGGGCTGATAACTGCAGCAAGAACTTGCTTAACTAGCTTCTTGGCTATCTCTGCTGCCCTACATGAACCTTGCCTACTTAGAGTATTGTTTGGATTGTGGTTTTAAAATTTCTCTGTCCTTGAAATCACCTTGACAGTTCTGAAACAGCCCTGAATGAAAATGGAAGGTCGCCCAATTCTAAAAGTTACTACCCATATTCTTACTCTTAGCCCTGAGTATTCCTCCCCTCGGGCTACAGAAGATCTGTCAATAAGACCACTTTCTGTTAGTGCAGCTGCTCTCTTTGGAGCCTGCCTGCTCTTCTCCCTGAAAGTGTACTTTTGCTTTCAGTAACAGCTGTCTCTTGCTTGGCTTAGGTGGTGCATCCTAAAATTCTTTTCCAGACAAACACAAAGAACTTGGAAAAAACCTCCACTTAGAGGCCAGTAACACATTCTTACACTGGCCATGTTTGCTCTGTCTCAGGAGAGCAGCTCAAGGTTACAGCTGACAGCCACACTTACTCTGTTGGGAGAGCTTTGTTTACCCTAGAATGCTCTCTGTACATACTTGAAAATCCGTAGTGTTACGTGAAAATTCATGTTCTAAAAAAAATGCCTGTACTGTTAATACAATGAAGACCAAGTGTCTGTACTTAGGAACTGGTTATTTTTTGTACAGCATTAAGAACTGTAAGATGGTCTTGAGGCCAAGAGAAAGGAGCCAGAGTGGCACCACTTCTTTACTTGCAGCAGGTCACAGCTTAACCTTCATGCCCCGTGTCACAGGAGTCTTGGGTGGTAGCCGTTTCAGATCTGCTTTGGTTTATTTCGTATCTATGTCTTGCTGAGTATCCGTAATATTCATATCTAAATTATGTGCAAACAAATAAAGGCAAATGTCTGTCCTAGGCAGTGCGTTTACTCTCTATTTTTGGAAAAACTATGGTTAAAACAGTAAGAATAAACAGTTAATGGACACATAACAGCCATGGCAAACTGGGGGGCCACCTCTGAAAGTGGAGCCCTCCCCATGACTTTGTAATAAGTTTGAGATTGTCTTTTAAAGTCCACATTTTTTTAACTGGTACAAATGGGTTTTCACTATTTATTTGTGATATATATATTCCACATCCCTGATTTTCCCAGTCAGAATTTCTTTGAAATGATGCTGTCGGCCTTGGCCAAGCGGAGATTGGAATCATCTGACTTCCCCGTGCCGCGAACATCCCTGCAGATAGTGCAGATTCCGACCTGGCCGTCGAGCCTGTCCTGACCTGCCTCTGCCGCGCGTTCATCTGGGTGGACGTGTGGCTCTCGCCGCTGGGGATGCAGTTGTCGACGGAGCATTTTCTTGGCGCGTCCAGGTCCATGAGCTCGCCCGCGTCATTCTGCACGTGCAGGCCGCGCCTGAGGAGTCACTGCTCGGCGCACGAGGACAGTGGAGCCCGTGCCTTGCGCAAGCCCACCCGCCGCGGCCCTCTAAAGTCCACATTTGATAGCTGATCCTGAAGAAGTCCTTAGAATTGTGGCTACTTGATAGTTGCTGTGAAGAATTGGAACCTACCAGTGCGTCTTTGAATGAAAGTCTTTTAAGAATAAACATCTGGACTTGAGGGCATTGGGTCCTAGGAAGAGAGAAGCTTGGAACCTCGCTTGGGGAAGCCTGGTGCAGAGATGTCTTGACATAGCTCGGGCAAGAGGTAGGAGCTGACACTCGGTCACAGCGCCCTCCCTTGCCTGTGGTTGGCCACCATGAGACCCCAATGCTGGTAAAGGCTAGCCACATGAGCTTAATGGACACATAGCAGCCGTGGCGAATTGGGGGTCCCAATCGGGACCTCCCAGGATAGAGCAGCCCCAGCTTTGGAATTTAGAAGCACATCTCAGAAGAAGCCAGGATAGAGAGAGATTCTGTGTAGGACAGGAATGTTCCAAACACTCTGGAATCATAGACTACCTCAGCTCTTTAACTGAGCATGTCTTATTATTATTAACACCTGACAAGAAGAACCACACCAGCCTCCTGGTTATAACCACAGAACACCAGGTATACACCAAGGACTTTGATGGATGTGTGTATGCTTCATTTTATAAAGAGTATAAAATTTTTAAAATAACCTTAAAGCTAGGCATCGTTATCACTGCCATTGCACAGAGTGCAGCCGAGTGTCCGCCGGGGAGCTTGGCTTAAAGCTAGTCGGCATCTGAGGCCAAGGCAGGGCCGTCCCAGAGTGCTCCTGGAGACGGAGGAAACGTCTGTCTGCGCTGCCCAGTGTGGTAGCCACGAGCCACGCCGGGCTCCTGAGCACTGGAAATGCGGCTCATGAGGTGGAGGAACAGGATTTTTAAATTTAACATAAATAGCCACGTGTGGCCAGTAGCTGTCATTTTGGGCGGTATAGGCAAGGTGCTGGCAATATGTGTCTTAACTTGGGTTATCTGTTTCACTGCTGTTCTTTAAACTGTGCAGCCTGGTGTTACATACTCATTAGCATGTGTGGTAAATCCCACACTTTGTAAAGGTGGTTACCTGCCTCCTCCCCGAGCCTCTCCCCTTAATCTTTTGAATTTGGGACCAGGCACAGTAGCTCACTCCTATAATCTGAGCATTTGGGGAGGCCAGGGTGGGAGATCACTTGAGGCTAGGAGTTCAAGACCACCTCGGGCAACCTAGTGAGACCCCCATCTCTACAAAAAATTACAAAATTAGTCAGGCATGGTGGCGCCTGCCTGTAGGCCCAGCTACTCTGGAGGCTGAAGCAGAAGGATCGCTTGAGCCAGGAGTTGGAGGTGGCAGTGAGCTATGACCAGGCCAGAGCACTCCAGCCTGGGTGACAGAGTCTACAGAGTGAGACTCTGTCTCTTTAAAAAGAAAGTCTCTTTAGTTTGGCTTTTGGCAGGTTCAGTTCAGAGCAGTTCAGGCTGATTAGAGCCTGCAGCTGCCACAATTTGAGGTCGGTCACATATGTTCAAGGGCCTCAGACTGGGGCCCTGCACCCCAGCCAGCTGCCTTTAAGATTGTCAGTGGGTTATTGATCACTTGATTAGATCACACCATGGCCAGTGGGTCCCTGTGTTCTTTCTGGCTGCTGCAGCAAGTTAACTAGCTCTTGCTAATAGGAGTTTATATCAAAGTAAGAATAAGAAACAACAGCTTGCTGTTTGCCGGGTGTTTTCTGGATACTGGATATATATTGTTAAATCCTCACTTAACAGATATCACTGTCTCCACTCCACAGATGTGGAAAGTGAGGCAGGGAGATGATAGATGACTTGGCTGTGGTCACGCAGGGAGACGGTGGTGGTCTGTCTCTTGGCCGTGTGTCCCAGCCCTGGAGCCACAGCACTAGAGGGCACTGGGACATGTCTATGGTTATGGGTCATCAAAGGGATTTTTGAATTTTGGTATGATGGGAGAGAGGAAATATGTTTGCTCTCAATGTATTCACGCTGGTTTCATACCTTCTAGAAAGAATGGTTCTGATAAAAAAAGACAAGTGTTGCTCTTTCCATGCTTAGCGCAGCCATGGCCCGTGGTCCCAAGAAGCATCTGAAGCGTGTAGCAGCTCCAAAGCATTGGATGCTGGATAAGCTGACCGGTGTGTTTGCTCCTCGTCCATCCACCGGTCCCCACAAGCTGAGAGAGTGTCTCCCACTCATCCTTTTCCTAAGAAACAGGCCTAAGTATGCCCTGACAGGAGATGAAGTGAAGAAGATCTGCATGCAGCGCTTCGTTAAAATCGATGGCAAGGTCCGAACTGATACAACCTACCCTGCTGGATTTATGGATGTCATCAGCATTGACAAGACTGGAGAGAATTTCCGTCTGATTTATGACACCAAGGGTCGCTTTGCTGTTCATCGTATCACACCTGAGGAGGCCAAGTACAAGTTGTGCAAAGTGAGAAAAATCTTTGTGGGCACAAAAGGAATCCCTCGTCTGGTGACTCATGATGCTCGTACCATCCGCTATCCTCATCCACTCATCGAAGTGAATGACACCACTCAGATTGATTTGGAGACTGGCAAGATTACTGATTTCATCAAGTTTGACGCTGGTAACCTGTGCATGGTGACTGGAGGCGCTAACCTGGGGAGAATTGGTGTGATCACCAACAGAGAAAGACATCCCGGGTCTTTTGATGTGGTTCACGTGAAAGATGCCAATGGCAACAGCTTTGCCACTCGCCTCTCCAACATTTTCGTTATTGGCAAAGGCAACAAACCATGGATTTCTCTTCCTCGAGGAAAAGGTATCCGTCTCACCATTGCTGAAAAGAGGGATAAGAGACTGGCAGCCAAACAGAGCAGTGGGTGAAATGGTCTCCATGTAACATAATAACATGTTAAAAAGTTATTTGTACTTAATTAAAGATATTACAGTGTGGAAAAAAAAAAGACAAGTGTTGATGAGGAGGTGGAGAAATCGGAACCCTCCTACCCTGCCCCTGGGAGCGTCAAGCGGTGCCGCTTCTTGAAAACAGCTTGGAGGTTCCTCCGATGATTAAAAATAGAACTACTGTGCGACCCAGCAGTCCCCCTCCCACGTGGAAATGAAAGCATGTCTGAACAAAACTTACAGATGTGCACAGCAGCACTATTCACCATAGCAAAAAATAGAAACAAGCCAATGCCCATTGGCTGATGGAAGGATAAACAGAATGTGGTGTCCCATACAATGGAATATTGTTTGGCCGTAAAAAGGAACGGAGCTCTTGTGCATACAACACGGGTGAGCCTTGCGTGTGTGAAGGGAGAGCCGGTCGTGTGGCCGCACGTGGCGAGACTGCTGGCGTGGAAAGTCTGAGTGGGCTGATCTGCAGGGACAGAAAGCAGACTGGTGAATTCCAGGGGCCAGGGACCGGAGCAGGCGAAAATGGAGAATGACTGTTCAAAGGGTCTGGGGTTTCTCGGGGGACTATGAAAACATTCTGGAAATACGGTGGTGATGGCAGTGCATGACCTCACGAATCTACAGAAACCCGCCGTTGAAGGGTGGAATTTATGGTACGTGAATTATGTCTCAATTTAAATCTCCGTGATCTAGCCTGGAGAGGACAAAGGGCCCCTTGTCATGCTGAGTGTCCTGCGGACTAGAGCAGACTGGAGCCGTGGCTGGACAGCCGATGCAGCCCACAGGAGGGTGCGGCGCTTGTAGTGCCCACCCGCCACCTCCCTCCTCCTCTCCTGGCCTCCCTGGAGATAGGCCCACCCTGACGCTCCTGGCTTACGGGGCGTTGTGTCGTGCGGGATCTGCTCTAGTCCTGAGTCCACGGCGAGCAGGCGGGGGCCAGCCCCTGGGCCTCACAGTCTGAGGAGGAGGGACAGAGTAAGCCAGAGTCACAAGAGAGGCCTGGAGGGCAGGCGTGGGCTGCAGAGGTGTGTTCTGAAGCCTCCACGGAGGTCCTGTCCGGGCTGAGGTTTACCGGGCGTCTGAAGCTGCTCTGGGACAAGCCTGTCCTCTGACTCACGGGCCAGGGCCACCGCAGTGAGGCTGAGGGAGCCTGCGTGCCAGGGGCTCCTTGGGCGTCTGCAGGATGGGAGAGACACCCGGGCAGGACTGGGAGGCGGGCAGAGCGGGGCGTGCGGTGCGTCTGGACGGCAGGGCGTGAGACACACAAACGTCATGTCTGACCCTTTCACCTGGGTCTCCCTGACTCAGGCCCGTCAGGTGACAGTGGGCTGCTTCACCCTTGCTGCTGTAATTTCACACAGCAAGTGTGTGACAATCATGATTTCAGAGAATTATCTCTCAATGAGTAAAAGCAGCCTCTTCTCAAAGAAGGGGCTGTCCTGACAGTTGACAGCCGTCCTGGGAAGAAATTCCTTTCCTTTAAACTGCAGCTGGTCTCACCTGCTTTACCTGGTCTGTCCTCAGCTGGGGAATGAATGGCAGGGCCGGTGTTCACTTGTCTCAAGCCAGCTGTGAGCGGCAGCCACTAACCCCTCCCCAGGAAGCTCGGAGCCTGGGGGCAAGGTGGAAAGCAGACTGCTAATCACCTTGTGCAAGTACGTCTAATGCAGATTGGGCCAGTGAGCTCCACTTGCAAAACGTCCTCAACACGGACAGTACAGGGTGACATTCGAGCTAAACTGGCCTGAGGGAGACCAGGGGACAGAGATTGACCCCCAGGAGAGGACATTTAAGCAGGCCTGAAGGAGCAGTGGTGTTATATAGCCGAGATTCACAGGGCCTCGGGACAGAGAGACAGAGTCACGGAGGCTGTAATTATCAAAAAGAGTTTTATTGTCTAGCTCAAGCTAGGGTCCGAGGCCCCTGAGTACCAGCGCAGTGGCGTCGTCTTCGGGCAGGGACCCCCCCTTTGTGTACTAGTGACCCTTTTATACTTAAGCTGTTTACACACTGGTCATGCATCCGCCCCCACAGTGATTCTTACTTCATCCTGCCCCTGATAGGCCCTAACCTGTTCCGGGTCCTTGCTGAGAGACTCCGGTTTCCGAGTTATTTGTCTTTTTCCTCTGCATCCCATAATGTACTCATAATGTCTTGCAGTTAGCAAACAAGCAGTAAACAGAAGCTGGAAGGTGTCCATTGTCCTTGTAGCCCAGTATCTCACAGAAGGAGTTGGTTAGCTAGAGGGGCAGAGGACACAGCCTGTGGAAAGGGCCTGAGGCAGAACAGCTGTGGCTTGTGTTCAGGGGACCCAGGGGCAGCAGTGGGGCAGGCAATGGATACAATAGGAAGGGAAGGGCCAGGTGACGTTTGGCCTCAACAACCACTGCATACAAGATGGTTAATGTCACTTGCCAATGTACTCAGGGACAAAAATACCAGCTATACAGAGCCCCATCTGTGTGTGGTGTCACAGGGAAGGCAAGGACGCACAGAAGTCCTGTGTGCCAGGTACTCTGAGGAGCTTGAGCCGAGGTTGTCACAGCATCCTCATGACCGGCCTCCCTCAGGTGTGGGTCCCCTTCTTTCCCTCTGTGTGGGGAGAATGACAAAACCACCAGGAACCAACAAGTAGGATGACATCTGGGAAGAGCTCCAGGTTTCTCGGTGGAAATTATCTGCTAGCAGAAAATGGTCTGAGCAGTCAGCTCCTTTGTCCTGGTGGGCAGGCTCCTTCAGGACCGGCCCTGTCGCAGGGCAGGGCAGGGCAGGGCGCACGGGTCCCCACTCAGGACGGGCTGCTGCTCCCCCAGGGCCTTCCCTCAGGGCAGCGGGGAGGGTGGGCGCGGGGCAGGGTGCAGCCGCGGAGGCAGCCCCCCTCGGGCTTCGGAGCCTGTTCTGCGAGCACCTGCCGCTGCTCAGCGGAGACCTCCGTTCCCAGCAGCGCCCAGGGCTCGCCGCAGGTTGTGTGATTCAGAGGGTTGATGCGTCACTGGGATGGTTTCCCCTCAAGTCACAGAACTTGGCTCTAATGGCTCAAAAGGAACGTGACCAGAAGCCTGAGGAGCGCGGTGGTGGCTGGGGCAGCAGAGCAGGCTTGCTTGGCCTTCCCCAGGCGCGAGCGGGTGTGCTGGCGCGGCGGCACGGCGCCGTCCACGGAGGCCAGTCTGCCCTGCCTCGCCCTGAGGGGAGGGGGCCTCCCGGAGTCCCCCGGGACCGCACGCGCCCAGATCCTTTGGCCATACGAAACAGTCGGGCCACCCGAGCGTCCGGGCTTCCACAGTGAGGGTGGGGACGCCGCGCGCGTCGTGCGCCAGTGAGGAGGTCTCAGGCAGCGTTGAAAAGCCACATGAGAGGATCCCAGATGGGCGAGTGATGAGTGTGCAGGACGGGCAGAGAATTGTCCCGGGGGGGGGGTTATTAGGTAGGTGTGTGTTTGGGACCAATGTAAATATGCTTCTCGCTGGGGGCATGTGCCAAAAGTGTGAGAAGTTCTATCTTAGGCTAATCATTTTGCGTGGAATGCGTGTTGTATGTGTGTGTTGCGGGCGTGTCAACCACAAAGACCCTCAGTCATCAAATAGGTAATTTTGGTCTGGGCTGTTTCGGAGCATTGGGCAGCAGTGTGTGTTTGTGGTGCACTGGGAGGCAGTGGCTGCGTCTGCAAGTGGCGTGATTCTGTTGGGTGTGATGGGCGGCCCCCGCGGCCACTACACCTAGCCGCCCGACGGCAGCGACCGCCACGCGTGGAAACGGGGCTCGTCTGAACAGAGATTTGCTGTAAGTATAAGAACTGGAAGATTCATACAGAATATCTCATTAGTAATTATTAAATGTTGATTAGATGTTGTTCAAATGATAATATTTTGGGTGTATTAGGTTCAATGTGATAAATTTTAAAAATTAGTTTCACCTGTGTGTACTTTCTGTGTTTATTGTGGCTACTAGAAAATTGAAAACTCCAACATTCTTCTTCTTAAGAACTGGACTGCTGTCCACACAGTGGGGTGGCCACGCGTGTCCCCTGACACGTGGGCTGCAGCTGCCCAGCTGTTCCCAGGCACGCTGCTGTCCTTGTTTGCGGCCCAATGCCAGCTGCTCTGTGGCGTTCTCACTGGTCTGGCACACAAACCCTTCCCAAATGACTCCCCATCCAGTCTGCCCTTCCTCACAGAAGAGCACCAGAGCCCCTGTCCCCATCATTTGCGTGTGGCTTTGCTCAGCCACAGAGCGTTCCTGAAGAGAGGGCGTGCGCCAGGCTGCCGGAGGGGCCTGCTTGGGTGGCAGCTCTCTGTCTCCAGCTCCACATGGCCTCGCTCCACTTACGCTTGCTATGCCTGCCCCCGGCCACAGTGGCAAGAACGCAAATGCTGCGTGCTCCCTCCCTGCTCCTCGTGTTGACCTCCTAGGTGTCAGGGTGACCTGGGCATAGCCTCTTGAATGATGGCCGTGCGCTTTCTATTTCTGCCAACTCACCATGGCATTTTTTCCACTCAAATACAGTAGATTTCTCTTCTGATCAAAACTCTACAAAAATATGGATGGACTCTTCCTCCCCAAATTTTTAATCAGTTTCCCTACTAATTGACACTGAATTTTTGTTGGTGTTTGTTTTTGTTTTAAGAGACAGGGTCTTGGCCAGGTGCGGTGGCTCACGCCTGTAATCCTAGCCCTCTGGGAGGCGGACGCAGGAGGATTGCTCAAGGTCAGGAGTTCGAGACCAACCTGAGCAAGAGTGAGACCCCATCTCTACTAAAAATAGAAAGAAATGAGCCAGACAACTAACAATACATTTTAAAAAATGAGCCGGGCATGGTGGCGCATGCCTGTAGTCCCACCTACTCGGGAGGCTGAGCCAAAAGGATCGCTTGAGCCCAGGAGTTGGAGGTTGCTGTGAGTGAGGCTGACGCCGCGGCACTCTAGCCCGGGCAACAGATTGGAGTGCAGTGTCACGATCACAGCTCACAGCAGCCTCCAACTCCGGGACTGCACTGATCCTCCTGCCTCCTGTTAAGCTCAGACTACAGGTGCACACCACTGTACCTGGATAATTTTTCTTATTTTGTTTAGTAGAGATGGGGATCTAACTATGTTGCCCAGGCTGAATTTTGGTTGTTTTATAAAAACGCTTCAGTGAATATTCCTAAGCACATTTTGAGGCACCCGTGAGTAGGTCTACAGAATAAAATTGGAGATGAAGGATTGCTAGCTAGGTCAATGTGTATGTATATTTTACAATTTGTTAGATATAAGTTATCCATCATGATTTCCAAAGAACTTTCAAAAAATATTCATAATTTTAAGAAATCTAGTTATTTTCTCAGTAACTTAAAATTTGTTACTGTGAGAAAGTTGTTTTTAAAAAATTAAAAGTATAATACATTTATCAGAGGAAGGAATACTTTCTTTAAAAAATCAATTTCATGTTTCTATTACAAGAGGAAAATGTCAACTCTGTTGCTTTGTTTAATTATACCACCTATGGACAACAATGTCAATTTCACAAGGAAAGACTAAAAAAAAAAAAAAAAAAACACCAAAAACACTTCTCTGACCCTAACACACTTTTTCTCTTCTGAATTTTTAAGTGTGTCTTGATTCTATAAAATGCCCTATATGTCACTTCACTGTAGCCTCCTAAGCCCATACAAAGAGGTCTTAACTACTGTCGCTTCAGTATTTCTCTGTAATTAAGAGCACCAGAGGGCAACTGTCTCTATGTTGGGAAACTGCATGTTCAGAGTACCTGTTTTCCATTTTGAAGCACATTTATTTATTTATTTTTCAAGACAGGGTCTTGCTGTGTTGCCCACGCTAGAGTGCAGTGGCGTGATCATAGCTCACTGTAGCCTCGAATTCTCTGCCTCAAGCAATCCTCCTGACTCAGTATTCCGAGTAGCTGGGACTACAGGTGCTAATTTTTAAAAAAAATTTTGTGGAGACAGGGTCCTGCTATGTTGCTCAGGCTGGTCTTGATCTGCTTCAAAGCCCCTTTAAATGTCTGAAGCCCCTGCCCAAGGTGCTGAGATGAGGTGGTGGGCTGCCACAGAGGACGCAGGGCAGCAGCTAGCTGGTCAGCCTTGGGCTCTGTTTTGGGAGTCCTGCCTTGTATATTCTCATTAAATGCTTACGAATAAAGACATTCAGGGATTTTTGTTAACTTTACATCCTAGCATCCAGAGAAGTGCATTTGTGCTTTTATCTCAATGTACTCAATCATGCTCTTATAAAAAATGGAGTGGAGAAAATTGAAATCTCCAAAATGTGTTAATACCACATAATGGTAGTAGTTTCAAATGTACAGAAGTCAAGGAAATTTTCATAGCAACTGTCACTGAGCCATTTTACAAACTGAAGAATATAAAATTACACTAAATGCACATCTATAATAATGCCATGGTTTAAGAAGAAACCACCATTTTAAAGTCCAGACATGATATATGGTATTTTCAACAGGAATTAAAATGAAATAAAGGCAACAGGAATAAAGTTTATGGCCAAAATGAGAATCCTGGTTCTTTTTAAAAAAGTCCTCTTTTATAGACAATTTAAGAAATTCAATTTAACCTCCAACATGAAAATACTGCTGGGCTTCTCCCACGAGGAGGCCAGTTGTCTGGCCTTGTGCCCTAGTCATGAAGTGATCACGAGTGTGGCTTCTCTGGGCCAGGTGTTCATGAGTCAGTAAAAAGCCAATGATGGGGACAGAGGGACAAGTTAAAGGCTACCTAGAGGAAGTAATTGGCCACATTCAGAGTGTGAGAAAGGCAAACACCACCAAGAAGTGTCCACCAGCCTGTGGCATAAATAACTTGGGGCTTGGGGAGGAATTCTTGTAGATTAAGAGAGATCTTTAAAAAAAGACTTTGGAGGCATAGAAACCAAGCACAATGGGTGCACCTTGTTTGAATCCTAACTTGAACAAACCAATGTAAAAACATATTTCATAGACAGTTGGGACAATTTAAATATGGACTCGGCATTAGAGTATAATGAGGAACTTTCAGTTACTTTTGTTAGATGT